TGCTATATATCACATGGCGACATATTGATACTAGTGGTATATATCACATGGCGACATATTGATACTAGTGGTATATATCACATGGCGACATATTGATACGAGTGGTATATATCACATGGCGACATATTGGTACGAGTGGTATATACCACATGGCGACATATTGGTACGAGTGGTATATCTCACATGGCGACATATTGGTACGAGTGGTATATACCACATGGCAACATATTGGTACGAGTGGTATATACCACATGGCGACATATTGGTACGAGTGGTATATATCACATGGCGACATATTGGTACTAGTGGTATATACCACATGGCGACATATTGGTACGAGTGGTATATATCACATGGCGACATATTGGTACGAGTGGTATATACCACATGGCAACATATTGGTACGAGTGGTATATATCACATGGCGATATATTGGTACCAGTGGTATATATCACATGGCGACATATTGGTACGAGTGGGTATATATCATATGGCGACATATTGGTACGAGTGGTATATATCACATGGCGACATATTGGTACGAGTGGTATATATCATATGGCGACATATTGGTACGAGTGGTATATATCACATGGCGACATATTGGTACGAGTGGTATATATCACATGGCGACATATTGGTACGAGTGGTATATATCACATGGCGACATATTGGTACGAGTGGTATATATCATATGGTGACATATTGATACGAGTGGTATATATCACATGGCGACATATTGGTACGAGTGGTATATATCATATGGCGACATATTGGTACGAGTGGTATATACCACATGGCGACATATTGGTACGAGTGGTATATATCACATGGCGACATATTGGTACGAGTGGTATATATCATATGGCGACATATTGGTACGAGTGGTATATATCATATGGCGACATATTGATACGAGTGGTATATATATCACATGGCGACATATTGGTACTAGTGGTATATATCATATGGCGACATATTGGTACGAGTGGTATATATCACATGGCGGCATATTGGTACGAGTGGTAAATATCACATGGCGACATATTGATACTAGTGGTATATATCAAATGGCGACATATTGGTACGAGTGGTATATATCACATGGCGACATATTGGTACGAGTGGTATATACCACATGGCGACATATTGGTACGAGTGGTATATATCACATGGCGACATATTGGTACGAGTGGTATATATCACATGGCGACATATTGGTACGAGTGGTATATATCACATGGCGACATATTGGTACGAGTGGTATATATCATATGGCGACATATTGATACGAGTGGTATATATCACATGGCGACATATTGGTACGAGTGGTATATATCACATGGCGACATATTGGTACGAGTGGTATATACCACATGGCGACATATTGGTACGAGTGGTATATATCACATGGCGACATATGGGTACGAGTGGTATATATCACATGGCGACATATTGGTACGAGTGGTATATATCACATGGCGACATATTGATACGAGTGGTATATATCACATGGCGACATATTGGTACTAGTGGTATATACCACATGGCAACATATTGGTACGAGTGGTATATACCACATGGCGACATATTGGTACGAGTGGTATATACCACATGGCAACATATTGGTACTAGTGGTATATATCATATGGCGACATATTGGTACGAGTGGTATATACCACATGGCGACATATTGGTACGAGTGGTATATATCACATGACGACATATTGGTACGAGTGGTATATACCACATGGCGACATATTGGTACGAGTGGTATATATCACATGACGACATATTGGTACGAGTGGTATATATCACATGGCGACATATTGGTACGAGTGGTATATATCACATGGCGGCATATTGGTACGAGTGGTATATATCACATGGCGACATATTGATACGAGTGGTATATATCACATGGCGACATATTGATACTAGTGGTATATATCACATGGCGACATATTGATACTAGTGGTATATATCACATGGCGACATATTGGTACGAGTGGTATATATCATATGGCGACATATTGGTACGAGTGGTATATACCACATGGCGACATATTGGTACGAGTGGTATATATCACATGGCGACATATTGGTACGAGTGGTATATACCACATGGCAACATATTGGTACGAGTGGTATATACCACATGGCGACATATTAGTACGAGTGGTATATATCACATGGCGACATATTGGTACGAGTGGTATATACCACATGGCGACATATTGGTACGAGTGGTATATATCACATGGCGACATATTGGTACGAGTGGTATATATCACATGGCGATATATTGGTACGAGTGGTATATATCACAGCGACATATTGGTACGAGTGGTATATATCATATGGCGACATATTGGTACGAGTGGTATATATCACATGGCGACATATTGGTACGAGTGGTATATATCATATGGCGACATATTGATACGAGTGGTATATATCACATGGCGACATATTGGAACGAGTGGTATATATCATATGGCGACATATTGGTACGAGTGGTATATACCACATGGCGACATATTGGTACGAGTGGTATATATCACATGGCGACATATTGGTACGAGTGGTATATATCATATGGCGACATATTGATACGAGTGGTATATATCACATGGCGACACATTGGGACGAGTGGTATATATCATATGGCGACATATTGGTACTAGTGGTATATATCATATGGCGACATATTGGTACGAGTGGTATATATCACATGGCGACATATTGATACGAGTGGTATATATCACATGGCGACATATTGATACGAGTGGTATATATCACATGGCGACATATTGGTACGAGTGGTATATATCATATGGCGAGATATTGATACGAGTGGTATATATCACATGGCGACATATTGATACTAGTGGTATATATCACATGGCGACATATTGATACTAGTGGTATATATCACATGGCGACATATTGGTACGAGTGGTATATATCACATGGCGACATATTGATACGAGTGGTATATATCACATGGCAACATATTGATACGAATGGTATATATCACATGGCGACATATTGGTACGAGTGGTATATATCACATGGCGACATATTGGTACGAGTGGTATATATCACATGGCGACATATTGGTACGAGTGGTATATATCATATGGCGACATATTGGTACGAGTGGTATATATCACATGGCGACATATTGGTACGAGTGGTATATATCACATGGCGACATATTGGTACGAGTGGTATATATCATATGGCGACATATGGTACGAGTGGTATATATCACATGGCGACATATTGGTAGGAGTGGTATATATCACATGGACACATATTGGTACGAGTTACCTCATACCTACCCTGGTCTGAGGGGCGACCTAATAGATCGGTGACTTAATTTGATTCCCTGGAACCCACGCTTGAATAAGGGGTAACCAGACAGATCAGCTACATGGACAAATGTGTCATAGCCTGACAGCGTGGGGCAAGTGTTGCTCACTCTATCGATCACTGGGTGTCCAGACTATTTGCTGGTGGGCATGTAGCCGGAACTAAGTTACACCAACAAACAAAGAAAACATGAGTTCAGGTGAATACGGCCGACGGAGTACAATCTGGCGAACACACAAACACACATTCGGTGAATGTGTGAACCCTTGAAGGTCCGGGTTAGAATTGCTCAACAGAATCCCATGCTTGTCGTAAAAGGTTTCTAACAGGATCGGGTGGTCAGGCTCGCCAACATGGTTCACGCATTTCATCGTATCCCAATTGCGTAGATCGATGCTTATGATGTTGATCACTGGATTGTCTGGTCCAGTCTCGATTATTCACAGACCGCCGCCATATAGCTGGAAGATAGCTAAGTGCGGCGTTAAACAACAAACAAACAAAAGGTAATTGTGTATTTCTCGTTTTAATTTTGTCTTTTCCCGCAACCAGTTTTGCCGTCTACAGGAAATGTACGATGTCACGTGTCATGTGTAAGATATAGCTCTGTTTCAGATCAGATGTGAAATAATTTTGTTGCTTTGTCATTGTAGAAAGGCGGTCATACAGGCGTGGACCGGGGATGTAACGACAAGATGCTCTAGATCTGCTGTCATGTAGGCGTGGACCGGGGATGTAACGACAAGATGCTCTAGATCTGCTGTCATGTAGGCGTGGACCGGGGATGTAACGACAAGATGCTCTAGATCTGCTGTCATGTAGGCGTGGACCGGGGATGTAACGACAAGATGCTCTAGATCTGCTGTCATGTAGGCGTGGAGCGGGGATGTAACGACAAGATGTTCTAGTTCTGCTGTCATGTAGGCGTGGACCGGGGATGTAACGACAAGATGCTCTAGATCTGCTGTCATGTAGGCGTGGACCGGGGATGTAACGACAAGATGCTCTAGATCTGCTGTCATGGAGCGCCAACTGCACTGTTCTCTGTTGTAATGTTGTTCCTAATTCTGTTGTTAAACAGCCTGAGCGTGGTTGTAAGATAATAATGAGTTGTTATGTTGTAGGTTGGCGGTAGTCTTTGGGTGGTCTTGGGCCAGATGATCTTGTAGTGTTGTTAGACAGGGTGGTCTTGGGCCAGATGATCTTGTAGTGCTGTTAGGCAGGGTGGTCTTGGGCCAGATGATCTTGTAGTGCTGTTAGGCAGGGTGGTCTTGGGCCAGATGATCTTGTAGTGCTGTTAGGCAGGGTGGTCCCGCTGTTACGGTGTTGTTTGTACACAAGGTGGTCAGATCAGATGGTGTTTCAAAACAACTACAGCAGAATACCACACCCTGTATTATGTTCTACCACGCCATGTCCATGTGTGTTATAACGCAATATTGCTAAATAAGGAATATAAGTCCAAAGTCCAGTGTTCATGATGATATTTAGTAATTGTGCTGATACTCCTTCCAACAACTGAAGAAAGTAGCAAATGTAGTCTATAGCATTTACCTAGAAATAGTCAATTAATACCATATTTGTTTGTTTTAGTTACACCTTGGACTGTATGAGGTACATCCCTACCCTGCATAGAAGCAGGTGGATGATACAGCAATACACGCTCCCACGCTGGAGTCGTACCACAACGCCGGCACGGCACATTTCATTTTGTAGGTAATTCCGTTAGAGCAGGTGGTAAAACCATGACACGTGGAACATGACTGGTAGTTGCCGCTTGGACGGCCGCTGCAGTCATCCACGCAAGTCGTTTGATTAATGCCTTCCTCCACAGAAGATGTCAGTATTCGACTTGAGCTCCTGAAACACATGATTTTTAAAATTATTAATATCAATTACATATTTAAAAATATATACATGAAACAAAGAGGGCTTAGGGGTTCCTTTCACGAAGCAACCTTTACTAGGGTTAACCTTAACTCCCATTCTTAACATTGTACTAGGGTTACCTTAGTGACTTACGATCACCTTAGTGCTTTGTGAAAGGAGACCCAGGTTGGTCATCATCAGATGCCCCTTCGAACCCACCAAGAACAATTATTTTTTTGTACGGTCACAACACATCACGCCTTCCTGTGCGGGACTACTCACCCACAATTCACTTCGGCCACAGGGAAGCAGTTTCCGGTCACATGGTTGTACGCAAGGCCACTTGTGCATGTATGGTTGACTTCATAACTACCGAAGCAGGTTCGAAAGTCCCGGCAGAATCGGCAGTCCCGATACATGGCCAGCCCTACCACCCCACTGCAGTCGTTTCTGCATTCTGTAACAAAGCATACCAAACTGTCTGTGAATGGATCACTAACATAACCCTGGTTTGTGTGCTCCCTACTCTGTCCCCAGTCAGATCAAACACCATCATCTATTACAAAAGGGCCATTTTGGGTTGGGTTTGTAACATTGCTTAATAATCGAACATTCTAACGGCCGATTGTAACTGATCGAATCTGGACCAGGCAATCCAGTGATTGATAGTATGTATATAGATACGCACTTTCGGAGCATCAGCAGAAGTTGCCTCTCCACTTGATACAAGCCGACGTTACGGAACCAGATAGTGTGTGAGTGAGTGAGTTGACTTTTACGCCGCTTTTAGCAATATTCCGTCAATCGAAACAAAACTTTTGGATCGACCAACGAAAGCTTTGAGCACTGGTCTACCCCACCGCCCCCTTATCAAGCAGGAAAGTGTACTGGGGGAGGTTAGTACCTGGTTCTCAGTTTGACTTCTGGTTTTATATTGGGAAGTTCGGAGAGAAGGTGTTGGTTAGGTTCCTCATTCCAATACACGGCTTCTTAGATTGCCTTCAGTAGTAAGAGGCTATAAGAGGACCGGGTGGGCAGGCTTGCTGACTTGGTTGACATATATCCTCTTTGTGAAGATCGATGATCATGGTGTCAATATTTGGCCTAGACTCGATCATTTATAGACTTCCCTAACACAGCTGGAATATGATTGCACATGACAGATACATGTGAAATCAGGGAGGAAAGAAGACACAAGTAGGATACAATGATGACGATACACCGCTACAAGTAAGATACAATGATGAGAATACACCGCTACAAGTAGGATACAATGATGAGGATACACCGCTACAAGTAGGATACAATGATGAGGATACACCGCTACAAGTAGGATACAATGATGAGAATACACCGCTACAAGTAGGATACAATGATGAGGATACACCGCTACAAGTAGGATACAATGATGACAATACACCGCTACAAGTAGGATACAATGATGGGAATACACCGCTACAAGTAGGATACAATGATGAGAATACACCGCTACAAGTAGGATGCAATGATGAGAATACACCGCTACAAGTAGGATACAATGATGAGGATACACCGCTGCAAGTAGGATTCAATGATGAGGATACACCACTACAAGTAGGATACAATGATGAGGATACACCGCTACAAGTAGGGTACAATGATGAGAATACACCGCTACAAGTAGGATACAATGATGAGAATACACCGCTACAAGTAGGATACAATGATGAGAATACACCGCTACAAGTAGGATACAATGATGAGGATACACCGCTACAAGTAGGATACAATGATGAGAATACACCGCTACAAGAAGGATACAATGATGAGAATACACCGCTACAAGTAGGATACAATGATGAGAATACACCGCTACAAGTAGGATACAATGATGAGGATACACCGCTGCAAGTAGGATACAATGATGAGGATACACCACTACAAGTAGGATACAATGATGAGGATACACCGCTACAAGTAGGGTACAATGATGAGAATACACCGCTACAAGTAGGATACAATGAAGAGAATACACCGCTACAAATAGGATACAATGATGAGAATACACCGCTACAAGTAGGATACAATGATGAGAATACACCGCTACAAGTAGGATACAATGATGAGGATACACCGCTACAAGTAGGGTACAATGATGAGAATACACCGCTACAAGTAGGATACAATGATGAGAATACACCGCTACTCATAACAGTGTTGGCGGGACTTCAGGGGGCTGGACAACCCATGCCCAGATACAAACACTGTTGGCGGGACTTCAGGGGGCTGGACAACCCATGCCCAGATACAAACACTGTTGGCGGGACTTCAGGGGGCTGGACAACCCATGCCCAGATACAAACACTGTTGGCGGGACTTCAGGGGGCTGGACAACCCATGCCCAGATACAAACACTGTTGGCGGGACTTCAGGGGGCTGGACAACCCATGCCCAGATACAAACACTGTTGGCGGGACTACAGGGGTCTGGACAACCCATGTCCAGATACAAACACTGTTGGCGGGACTTCAGGGGGCTGGACAACCCATGCCCAGATACAAACACTGTTGGCGGGACTTCATGGGGCTGGACAACCAATGCCCAGATACAAACACTGTTGGCGGGACTTCATGGGGCTGGACAACCAATGCCTAGATACAAACACTGTTGGCGGGACTTCAAGGGGCTGGACAACCCATGCCCATATACAAACACTGTTGGCGGGACTTCAGGGGGCTGGACAACCCATGCCCAGATACAAACACCGTTGGCGGGACTTCAGGGGGCTGGACAACCAATGCCCAGATACATACACTGTTGGCGGGACTTCAGGGGTCTGGACAACCCATGCCCAGATACAAACACTGTTGGCGGACTTCAGGGCTGGACAACCAATGCCCAGATACAAACACATTGTTGGCGGGACTTCAGGGGCTGGACAACCCATGCCCAGATACAAACACTGTTGGCGGGACTTCAGGGGCTGGACAACCCATGCCCAGATACAAACACTGTTGGCGGACTTCAGGGGCTGGACAACCCATGTCCAGATACAAACACTGTTGGCGGGACTTCAGGGGGCTGGACAACCCATGCCCAGATACAAACACTGTTGGCGGGACTTCATGGGGCTGGACAACCCATGCCCAGATACAAACACTGTTGGCGGGACTTCATGGGGCTGGACAACCCATGCCCAGATACAAACACTGTTGGCGGGACTTCAGGGGCTGGACAACCCATGTCCAGATACAAACACTGTTGGCGGGACTTCAGCTGGACAACCAATGCCCAGATACAACTGTTGGCGGGACTTCAGGGGTCTGGACAACCCATGTCCCAGATACAAACACTGTTGGCGGGACTTCAGGTGTTGGTTAGGGGGCTGGACAACCAATGCCCAGATACAAACATTGTTGGCGGGACTTCGGGGGCTGGACAACCCATGCCCAGATACAAACACTGTTGGCGGGACTTCAGGGGCTGGACAAGCCCATGCCCAGATACAAACACTGTTGGCGGGACTTCAGGGGGCTGGACAACCCATGTGGCGGGACCAGATACAAACACTGTTGGCGGGACTTCAGGGGGCTGGACAACCCATGCCCAGATACAAACACTGTTGGCGGAACTTCAGGGGGCTGGACAACCCATGCCCAGATACAAACACTGTTGGCGGGACTTCAGGGGCTGGACAACCCATGCCCATATACAAACACTGTTGGCGGGACTTCACTGTTGGCGGGACTTCAGGGGCTGGACAACCCATGTCCAGATACAAACACTGTTGGCGGGACTTCAGGGGGCTGGACAACCCATGCCCATATACAAACACTGTTGGCGGGACTTCAGGGGGCTGGACAACCCATGCCCAGATACAAACAGTGTTGGCGGGACTTCAGGGGGCTGGACAACCCATGCCCAGATACAAACACTGTTGGCGGGACTTCAGGGGGCTGGACAACCCATGCCCAGATACAAACACTGTTGGCGGGACTTCAGGGGGCTGGACAACCCATGCCCAGATACAAACACTGTTGGCGGGACTTCAGGGGGCTGGACAACCCATGCCCAGATACAAACACTGTTGGCGGAACTTCAGGGGGCTGGACAACCCATGTCAAGATACAAACACTTTTGGCGGAACTTGAGGGGGCTGGACAACCCATGTCCAGATACAAACACTTTTGGCGGGACTTCAGGGGGCTGGACAACCCATGCCCAGATACAAACACTGTTGGCGGGACTTCAGGGGGCTGGACAACCCATGCCCAGATACAAACATTGTTGGCGGGACTTCAGGGGGCTGGACAACCCATGCCCAGATGCAAACATTGTTGGCGGAACTTCAGGGGGCTGGACAACCCATGCCCAGATCCAAACACTGTTGGCGGAACTTCAGGGGGCTGGACAACCCTGGTTTGTGTGCTCCCTACTCTGTCCCCAGTCAGATCAAACACCATCATCTATTTACAAAAGGGCCATTTTGGGTTGGGTTTGTAACATTGCTTAATAATCGAACATTCTAACGGCCGATTGTAACTGATCGAATCTGGACCAGGTAATCCAGTGATTGATAGTATGTATATAGATACGCACTTTCGGAGCATCAGCAGAAGTTGCCTCTCCACTTGATACAAGCCGACGTTACGGAACCAGATAGTGTGTGATTGAGTGAGTTGACTTTTACGCCGCTTTTAGCAATATTCCGTCAATCGAAACAAAACTTTTGGATCGACCAACGAAAGCTTTGAACACTGGTCTACCCCACCGCCCCCTTATCAAGCAGGAAAGTGTACTGGGGGAGGTTAGTACCTGGTTCTCAGTTTGACTTCTGGTTTTATATTGGGAAGTTCGGAGAGAAGGTGTTGGTTAGGTTCCTCATTCCAATACACGGCTTCTTAGATTGCCTTCAGTAGTAAGAGGCTATAAGAGGACCGGGTGGGCAGGCTTGCTGACTTGGTTGACATATATCCTCTTTGTGAAGATCGATGATCATGGTGTCAATATTTGGCCTAGACTCGATCATTTATAGACTTCCCTAACACAGCTGGAATATGATTGCACATGACAGATACATGTGAAATCAGGGAGGAAAGAAGACACAAGTAGGATACAATGATGACGATACACCGCTACAAGTAAGATACAATGATGAGAATACACCGCTACAAGTAGGATACAATGATGAGGATACACCGCTACAAGTAGGATACAATGATGAGGATACACCGCTACAAGTAGGATACAATGATGAGAATACACCGCTACAAGTAGGATACAATGATGAGGATACACCGCTACAAGTAGGATACAATGATGACAATACACCACTACAAGTAGGATACAATGATGGGAATACACCGCTACAAGTAGGATACAATGATGAGAATACACCGCTACAAGTAGGATGCAATGATGAGAATACACCGCTACAAGTAGGATACAATGATGAGGATACACCGCTGCAAGTAGGAT